TTCAAACAAGTAACTTCTAACCGGGCGGAATTGCAACTCCCTAAGGTTCTTAATGAAGTAATTGCCGAGTGATAAGTGTAAGTGATATAATTAATGGCAATCTAACTTTGATTAGTCCAACTTAGTAATCCCATATAAAGGTTCTATACTGCTATTGATATACTTTCCGATTAGTTGATTATTCACTAGTTAATTATTAGTTCAGATTTTCTATATTTTATTTATATAATTGAAGTCAAATTGAGTCGAGATTATTGCTCATTTTACAAGAGTAATTAATGTTTTCTTTATTTTATTTAGAGAATTTATTCGATACTGTAGCATCCATATATTTGTATTTTGTTATTCCATATTGGTTCATCGATTTTGAGATAATCTAGTGCATTATTTGAACCGAAGTTCATTTGTTCAGACCTGATGGTAGAAGCAGGCTTGTATATTTTTGCTGAATAAATTCAACCATTTATTCTCAATTGAGTTCTTTATTAAATTCTTCAATATTGAACCTAAGAGTCGAGTATCGCGAGTGAGGTGGTCTTGTTTCAGGAGGACGTCTTGTTCCAGCAGCGTGAGTTGTATTTTGAAATAGTCAGATTGCTGGGATCTACCCTCCACCAGGCAAGCCTATTAAGAAGGAACTATGATGAAGTTATAAATTCTTGGGATTCGGTCAAATTGAAACATACGTCCTTGCCCGACACTCAAACTACCAATTGTATTAGAAATCTTTATTGGGAGTTTAATAAGATTTCACACTGATTAATCAATATTTGTCTGTGTAATTGTTAGGAGGCATGGTTGGATTAAACATTTTGTATATCTTACAGCGAGACACATCCTATAACTCATTTTGTAAAATATATTGTTGTTGCATCGTAGCACGCGATCACCGTTAAACACAAAGTACATTATTTATGATAGACCAGTGAATGGAGACGCAGAATCAATAAATCGTCACAAACTAGTCGCTTCAGAGCCACACAGTGCTGCCGAATAGAAAAATACGTAATCGGTAGTCAGTCAGTGTCTATGAAAAAAAATATTTTTTTTGCATTGCGTGCGCATACGGTTTTTTGATCAAACATCAACTTATTTATTACAACATGTACAATGAGCATACTAGTCTCTCATCAGACTTCTTTGCAACCATCCTGGAAACCCATTATCCCATTCATATTTATAGTATTCTGAACATTTTCTCTCCGTTTTACCTCCTGACCTTGAAGCTTCATTACCTGACATGTCAATCAGAGCCGTCCTTAGCAGATGTGAGGCTTGGAGCAAAACATTTTTGTGAGACCTTTTTCTAAAGAAAGTGGTCTAATCCGAACTTTTTTAAAAATTCTCGTAAAAAAGTGTTTTTAGCATTTTTGATGAACTCAATTTATCTCAAAACCCGTCATATTTACGTTTTTTTTCCATTTGCCAGGGTTGGGTCTATTTTTATTTTTGATGTAAGTATACAATATTTCACTCTGTGTAAAGAATAATTCTTCTCAGTTATTGAGATAAAAGGAAATATGATTTATGACTATGATCTAAACTCAACTTTATTTTTTAAGCAATGAATCATTAGGAAAATTATGATAAAATTTAGGTCTGCCAGGAAATAAATAAATTCTTATAAGAAATCTTTGTTTTTTGTAGTAAATAATCATAAATAAGCACATATTATAAAATATGCATATTATTTGTACATACTATTATTTGTTTGGTATTCTTAAGTGAAAATCTTTTTCTCGGCAGATTCTGACATAGGCTCATCTTCTGCCTCGAACTCAAACATTCTTCTTTTATTCATCAGTATGACTTCTTTGAACTTTAGAGAGTTTCACTAAGTTCTCTTGCTACCAATGTGGCCGCCACAAAATTTTCAACTCTAAATTTCTGAAAAAAACTGAACTAGCCCTTGAAGTAAATGCGACGCAACTCCAAGGCAGTGCCGCAAGCATGAGTCACTCACCGGCATGCGCGTGGTTTGGGGAGCTGCCACCCGGACCCCGCCGCCATTATCAAACGATGTTTTGCATTCTCTTTGTCACGATTATCTCTTTCGTGGGTCTTGTATTTAATCAATAATTTTCACATTGCGAGAATAATCAGACAGATGTTTTATATTTGTACATTATTGTATTATTTTCATTCAACTAAAACTTTTTACTTATTTGTTAGAGCGAGAGCGCGAGGCCTGGAGCGGCCGCCCCACCCTAAAGACGGCCCTGATTTTAATTCGATAATTAATTAAAAACAGATGAGCTTTGATTTCATTATTACTTATCCGGTGATTCGGTAATGACGCTAATCTACCTACTAGTTCTGTACCTGTTGGTCCACAAAAACCAATTCATCACACTGATGGATATGACTGACTGACTGCTTTATTTTTAGTTCCAGCTCTTTTTCGGTAAAAAATTGGGAAATATTTGAAGTATTTTAAAAAAATTTGAAATATCGAAAGGTTCTGCAACACTGGAGCTACAGCCTTGGAGAATGGTCAGCGTTCGGTACTTTGTGGCCGCGACTTTCTATCCAGCAGGCGGGCTACGGACTCTATGCGGACGGCAACGTGCCGCTATATTTTGGGAATTTGAAAAATAAAATAATTTTGTAATGTAAGATTTATAACATACATTTTGATTAATCGACTTGCTAGCCCTTAATCAAAATTGATGTAACTTTCGTTTGTTCAATCACAGACCATGGACATCTGTATCGTGCTTTTGGCAACTCCTCAGCATGGTGTAGGCTTAATCTTGATGGAGATCAAATGAAAACTGAGCAACTCTATTAAGAGTACAGTGGAACTCCAATTATCCGAAATAATGTGGACCCAAAAGATTTCGGATAATCGAAATTTCGGATAAAACCGAAATGAGTATTTAGATTCATAATGCTTTTATTGAAACAAGTAATTGCGTGTGTTAAGTGAGTGTATACCTATATAAAGTTACGTAAAATATAAACATGTGGATTCAAACATACATATTTACGAGTATTTAGTAACAAAGGAAGTAATTTTTAACTGTACACGTTTTGCATTGTTCCTATTTTTGGCAGCAGTATCCCTCCAACGTTTGATAAGCAGCACATCAGCTGCTGTCGCATTTTCTTGTTGTTGGACGTAAGTCAACGCCTTTTATAGAGCTTCTAATCCCTCAGAATGTGATATTTTGGCGGAGATTTATCTCTCATCGTCACTAGCATCACTTAAAACTGTCTCATCGACATTGTTACAAACAGGTTTTATTAGTTCCGTATCAGATAATTCTTCCACCAATCCATAACCATTAATCCACTCACCAACCTCTGCTTGGGTAATATTTTCACACCCTGCTATTTTTACGACGAGCTTATGTAAATTTTCGTTGTTATTCTCATAGTCTGCGCAATTTCTTGCTTGATCATTGTCGACCAAGATTTTTGTAAATTAGAATTTTTTACAGTGCTCCATGTTTCTGCTATCCAATATACCACATTCTTGAGGTTAATCTCTTTTAAACAATCAAGGAGGTTACAACCATTATCAACTTGATCTAAAATTTGTTCTAATAAAAAACGTCTGTAATTGCGTTTTCAATTTTCTAAATCTCCTTGATCCATTGGCTGCTTCAGTGACGTTACATTAGGAGGCAAAAACATCACTCGTATTTCTCCACTTTTAGGTTGCTCCTCACTTGGGTGACTCGGAGCATTGGCAAATAGCAATCCTCTATCTAAACGTCTGATTGTCTAAAGTTTCTGTTCTATGGTAGTAACAACGCGTTTACGTTTATTTCTATGCTGCTCCATCTTAGCGATTATGAACCTGACTGAAACAAACATACCATACACGCCGACAGCAAATCCAGTGTTGCCAGAGCCCACATTGAAAATTCCGCTGCTGATATCGAAAGTTTGATAAGTATCGCGAACAAAGTTGAAGGTAAAATACGATTCCTTTTCTTTGTTTTGTTTATCTCCATATATATGAGAATGTCCACTCGACATCTGCATTACCATGTGGCAAATGTTAAAATTATTAGACATACTTTGGAAATACACTTCACAGGTTGTGTTCTTACCACCTACTACCTTGTGTACGTGTCTCCGTTGAATAAGAATTACCGACCGGTGGTTACCACTGTCGATTGGAAATATATCTCTATTTAGATTTAGTTACTAACTGCACTCATTTTTTTTTCTGGTGAAAATATCCATCATGTGTACCTAAATTGCAAAATTCCGCTACTTCTGGCAACACTGAACAAATCTAATGACGCAAACGCCGAAACGGGAACTACCGGCGGCTATATCGGATCTTGCGCCGATTTCCCGAACAACTTCGGTTAAAACGGACAAATTATAGTATGCGATCTGTTTCGGATAATCGTGAATCGGATAATCGGGGTGCTACTGTATAAGGTTTACCAAAATAAGAGAGCACAAAGTGTCATCTGTTACCAGAAACAACCACTGCGGAAGTGAAAACAGCAAGCTGTATGTGGGAACTGTAGGAACGTGGCGTTACAATTAATGATCATTTAGAAAAACCCAATTATTAGTTATTACTATTAGTATTAGCAGAGGTATGGAGTTCAGTGGAAATCGATGATTATCATTTTTCTGCAAATGAACCAAATCTTCCTGATTTATCAGACATTAAATGGTATTCAAAACATGTGCGTGAAAGCCAATACTTGCTTCCTTAAAATTGTAAAATATACCAAAATCTAAATGTAAAGATGGGAGGGGGGGGGGGGTAAGCGATTTCCTTTTGCTGACAAGGGATAATTGCAAAAAATCTGCTTCCGTAATACTTGAACGGCCCCGTAGGCGTAGGAAGCAAAAACAGCTCTGTTTCCCTGCACGGCTCAACTGTAAGAATACGGCGATTCTGTATGAGTTCCAAAATGCATTATAAACGAGCAAGGATTCTAAGAAAATAACTTGTGAGGATATTGACTTTATTAACTGTATTATTATATTGTCAGTTATTGATGTTTTGTTATCTGTTGTTGCAGTTCACGGCCTGGGTGGACGCGGTCATCTTCGTGTTCAGCTTGGACAACGAGTCCTCGTTCAACGCGATCTACAACTATTACACCAAAATGGCGCACTACAGGAACACCGCCGAGATACCATTCATCCTCGTTGGCACGCAAGGTAGGAATCATACAAATTTTGTTCAAATGGAAACAGTATAGTCTTAAAAAAGTGTCATATCGTTCTCTCAGACATAACCCTCGTTTTAAGATAATTAAAAAAATATTATTAATATTTCTAATTTGCATGGGTGTTACACAATTAACGCTCTACATTCATAAGTGATTATTTTGGTTAATTTCATTTGATAAGGAATAATTTTTGACGCCCTGAAAAATAATGACATTACGCTGCTAGTACGATAACAAAGCTACATGCAAGACGCTTCTCCGACAGTACTTTATTTCTTACCAATGCGTTTAACCAATATCAAAATAAGAGAGCAGCTGTATTCAACTTTGGAAAACATGATTCGCCATCTTGTGTCCATATACAAGGTATGCAATCCCGTCTATGCTCATTTCAAGCCGGAGCACTCTGCGAGTAAGTAGGAGTTACTTGTGCTTGTTGAAAGTAACCCTTTTTTTACCTGCCGTTGACACGGAGCTCTCTCCGATCGAGGAACAGCGCATCAACATCAACAAGTTTCTTGCAAAGCTAGACAAGAATGGTTGTCAGATTTTTTAGTGTTTGGAACAAGTTGACAATACTTTGAAAGAACCAACCGTTAACAAGTGGTTGAAAATGTTTCGGGAACGGCGATAACATGTGAAAGATGACTAACGCTCAGGACGCCCCTCCACATCGATCTCTGAGGGAAACGTTGAACGAATTCGAGGTTGTTGTCATAAATACCGTCGATTGCCAGTTTAAATGATAGCTGAAGAAATTCTGACAAAAATATGGAATGAAAAAAAAATGTGCGCGAAAATCGTTCCGAGGCTCTACTGACTCCAGAACAGAAAGCAAAGAGGGTTGCTTGCTGTGAGGATTGGTTGGAAAGGGGAGACTTTTTCAGCCGAGTCATCACTGGAGACGAATCTTGGTTATACGAATTCGATGTGGAGCTGAAATCTCAAAGCATGAAGTGGCAGAAAGCAGGGGATCCGAAAACAAGAGTCGAAAAAAACAAGGTCCAATGTGAAAACAATGTTGGTTGTTTTCTTTGATTCTCGGGGTATTGTTCACCAGGAATTTGTCCCTCCCGGCCAGAGAGGAACGAAAATTTCTACATTGAAGTTTTGGGTTGTCTCAGAGCTCGTGTGGCCCGAGTTCGACCGGATTTGGTACAAGGGGTCATCACGACAACGCGCCTGCTTACACGTCTCTCGTTGTGCGTGAGTTTTTGGCCCGAAGCTCAATCACCGTGACATAAGACCCGCCTTATTCACCCGATTTAGCCCCTTACCACTTCTTGTTCCTAAAATTCAAAATGGTGCTTCGGGGGCGGCACTTGGGGGATGTGGAAGCCATCAAATCAGAAACGACACGGCAAATGAAGAGCCAAACATGTTTTTTCTGTTTTCAAAAATCTTTCGAAGTTGTTGAACTTTTTTACTTTTGTGTTATGTGCCATGCTATTTTAATTTTAAAATGTAGGTATAATTGCCTTATTTGATTAAGCTTACTGTAGTTTAGTCTCAAGTTTTACGTAATAACTTTTCTATTTCTCTTATTTACTAAATGATGATCCAAACAAGCTTGGAACATAAAAATCACATCATATACCACCTTGATCAAAAAGTTCCCCCCGGAATTTATTAAAAAAATGAACAATACAAGTTTATTGTTCAAAATCGACACTGTCCCCTTCAAAGTAGTCCCCATTGACTGCAATGCACTTATGCCAACGCTTGGTCCAGTCCTCGAAACATTTTTTAAACTCGGTGTTATATTAGGGCCATCTTCGATTTTTCCATTATATCCTCTCGGCTGCTGAAACGGGCTCCTCTCAGTGGCTTTTTGATTCGATTGAACAAGAAGAAGTCATAGGGGGGAAAATCAGGTGAATTAGGTGGTGGTTGAATGGTATTCGTGTTGTTTTTGGCCAAAAACTGATGGATAATGATGGCATTGTGCGATGGTGCGTTATCGTGGTGCAAGATCCACGACTTGTTTTTCCAAAGATGCTTGGGTTTTTGATGGATTGATTAACCCAAACATCTCAAAACACCCAAATAGTACTCCTTGTTGACAGTCTGACCGTCAGCACTACCTTCTTCTTCGACTGGAAACGTTCGTCTCCAGTAATGATGCGTTTGACAAATGTCTGGTCAGAATTAGCCATGGAAATCATGTCTTTGGCGATATCAGCAGCGGTCATTTTTTTGCATGAAATTCAAGTCTTTTGGCACCAACTTGCCTGCAACACGACGAAGACCCAAATCGTTGACCAAGGTGCTTTGAACGAAGCAATGCTCAAATGCTCTGCCATCTCTCTGATAGCTAATTTGCGGTTGGTGGTTAACATTTTCTTCACTTTGTCTACGTTTTCTTCTGTTTTCGATATCGATGGCTTACCGCTGCGCTCATCATCGGCGATGGACTGGCGACCTTCTGTGACTTTGGCTGTTTTCTTCAAAGCACCGTTGCCGAAGCATTTTCCTAGCATTTCCAAGGTTTGCGTACCGTTGATATTGTTTTTGAGCCGTTTTACACACAAGAGACTTACTCCGAAAATTATGGTCATAATTATGCCGAAAATTTTTGCTGTCGTATTACACGTAAAAGAATTCTTGTGAAAATTTTCATGGTAAAAATATAAAACCCGTTCTATATTATATGCGCGAGAATCGGCGCAGAGGGTTATTTCCGTGCATGTCAATATCAAATGTCAACGACAACAACAACAACATAACCTCACTTAATATTTGTGGGAGTGGTCCTGTTTGAGTCGTACGAAGAAGCGTTTATTGTTATTGTTTATTCATAATGTCGTGGAATCGGGGAGAATTTACAATGTTGTTGGAGGAGTACCAAAAATGGCCAAACCTGTACAAGGTGAAGTCACCCAATTACAAAAACAGAAATTTGCGGCGTCAGGCGCTGGATGCGATAGTCCAAGCATTGAGAAGTTTTATGATATTAACCAAGATCTCGATTTCAAAAATAAATTTAAATTATCGACGTCTGTTGTATTTCCGATTATATTGGACGTCATACCCGTTAAGGTTATGTCCATTCGAAAATATTACTCTAATGCGCAGGCGTATCATATGAATTACTCCGAAATTTTGTTTGCTTGTGTCATACAGGTTGTAGAAAAAATTTTCAATATTTTTTCCATGCAAATTTTCAGCATAATTATGACCATAATTTTCTGAGTAATTCTCTTGTGTGTAAAACGGCTCTATAACATAAAATTTAATGCGAACGCGTTGTTATTCATTCAGATCCATTTTAAAAATCCTAATAAATCGTGAACACGCTCAACGGCTCATGTACTGAACTCGACGTAGCTTTGACAAATGATAATGAAATGACGCCCAAAGATTCGGGAGGAATATCAGTGGGGCACCATAACAAAAGAAACAGAATTGACAGTCGAGTGCTACGAGCGCCACATGGCGAACAAGGTGGTATATGGAGGTAATTCAGTCTCCCCATATAGTACTCTGCCTCAGGGGTAATTATGACTCTTTTAGGGACACCCTGTTTACATTAAGTAACTATACTAATATTTTATGAAACATGTGCTTCTCCAATTACTCGAAATAATTACTATTATTCCCATGATGATAAATGAACGCCAAAAACAATTATAGAGGTATACACAGCCAAGCTTTTATCTCATAACTCATAAATGCCAATACAATTTCGTAACTGGTGTACTGCTGAACCACAAACTTTTCCAGTTATGTATAGGGAAATTGTGTCTAACGATTTAAGGCGTTGTGTATTTCAATAAAATGTATTTTCCCTGAAAAGAGTCTGCAATTAGGCGTGTATTATAAGTACATCTTAAAAGAATAAGTTTTTGATTCGAGCTGAATTTAGGCACTTGATACGAGGGCCACGCTATATATTTTGAGATACACGAAAACTAAAAACTACTTTTAACTAGTTTATTCATGTTTAAGGTATTCTCCTCCAGCATCAATGCACTTCTGTAACCTGCCCTTCCACAAATGAAATGCTTCTAGACAGTCAGTTTTTGGATTGCATTCAACAAATTGATTTATTGCTTAATCGATTTCCTCTTCGGACGAAAATTTTCGACTACGCAGATTTTTTTTCAAATTTTTGAAGAGCCAGAAGTCACACATTGTCAAATCTGGCGAATAAAGCGGAGGTTCTAGCTATACTGTTCGTCATTGTTCGTCAGAGCGGTCCGGTGGGCCTTTGATCTTAGTTAAGAGTCTCGTCGGTCTGTTAGTCTGTCAGGTCTGGCTACCCAGATACCAAACATGTTTAAGGGGAAAAGGAAAAGAAGGAAAGAAAGGAAGGAAGAAATAGAGCAAAGAAAAGAAGTAAATCATTTGAAATAGCTTAAGCATTATTGCTTTGACTACTCGATTAATTGTGTAATTCCAAAAAATAATTTTGATCGGTTTTGTATAGTGAAATAGTTTTGACTGGTCTGAATTCACAATTTAATTTTGATCACAATGCGAGGCGCGGCCTTGAATGTTTGCGAACTTGCTCGACTGTGTAGTCTACTGAATCACGCAACAGAGGGTTGCTGTGCGATACGGCTTGATTATAACGCCGCTGGGTCTGTTGTTTTACATAATCCCTTAGATATGGGCGTTAGTGATTGTGCGTAGGATTCTGTTTTGCAGAACACCAAGCCGCGCATGCGTAGGTGATTTCGGGTCTTATAACCATTTTATATAACCGAATCTTGTTGATCAAACTTAATTTTGAATTTCTGCACAACAAAGGATAAAGCTGCCGAAAGGTAATTTGGAATTTTGTTTTCAAAATATCAGTATGTTTCTGCCAGGTCAACCCCTTGTCAATGATGAGTCCAAGGTACCTGATAGATTGTTCCCAATGTATACGAGTTCCATTCACTGATATCTCTGAGGGGGCACCGCGACGTTTTTTAGTACAATAGATTGTCTGCGTTTTAGAAGTATTAATTCTGATCAACCACCGATCCGCCCACTCCAATACTT